CTACCTTGCGCTCTTCCGCGGCCACCTGAAGCCGCCCAGGCACCCTTCGCGAGTCTGAAGGTCTAAAGAGGAACAGGAAGCCTCCGAGAACCCGCCCGGCATTGCAAGATGCCTCTTCCTGCGCTGCTTCTCCTTCCATGCTTGAGGGGCAGAAGTGGGGCCAGGCGGAGCCCTTTCCTTGGTGGCAGTCAGGACCCAGCCTCCTGGCTGGGGGGCAAGGTGGGGGGGTTAAGTCTAGGCCCACAGGTGCCCCAAGGGATGCGTGGCTGGCTGGCTGGCTGGCTGGCTGGCTGGCAGGCCGCTGGATGGTCAGAGGCCTGGGCAGTGGAAAAGGGGCCGGCGGCCAGGCCACCTACCACACCAGCCACTCCCTGGAGCCCAGTGCTGTCCTGGCTGTTGAGAGCTGAGCTCTGCATCCCTGAGAAGTCTTTTTTTCTTACAGATGTTTGGTAGGCAGACATTCAACAGGTAGTTCCTTCTCTTTTTTCCAAACTTTTACCAGAGATGCAACAATGAAATTGTCAGCTTGGCACATGAGCCGAGGAGCCCGTGCCCTGCTTTCCCCCAGAAGCAAGATCCTCTCTGGACCTGTAGATGCAAAAGTGATCAGACACTCCGGCTTGTAATCAGCCTCTTCCCTTGCAACTAGATCAGCCCAAAGCTGCTCTGGGCCTGGCCAGCTGCCCTGCATGGAAGCTCAGGCAAGCACTGCTGAGAAGCCAGGGCCTTCCTTGACCACAGGACTGCCATTACAAACAGATGCTTTCCCCTCCCATAAAAATAGAATTGGAGATTCAGGGCTTAAAAAGAACTAAGAACATGTAACATGCAATGGATTTAGTGGCCACAAAGTCGACAATCGCTTAAAAAATTAGCTGCATAAAGGATATGGCCAGCCAGTTTGGAATTCTCCCTCTGCCTCTTCTACCCTGGACAGAGTTTCCTCTCTCTTTGCCACTCCTCCCCCTCCCGCTTCTTTCTAAGCCAGTGCAGCCTGCCCTGCCCTTTTTTCCAGCCCCTCCCCTGGGATACAGCTCTTTCCCTCCATTTCTCCTGCCCAGCCCCTTTGTCCTTCAATCTCTGGCAAGGCCTCCCAGCCAGCAGCGACAGCAAGGGGGGCAGAAGATGGATAAGGATCATCTGGTTGAGCCCAGTGGCTTCCAGCCAATCAGCCAGGATTCCTGCTGCCACTAAAGTTCCAGTTCTAATTCAGAGGTCAGAGTTGGAAGGTGCCACTGAATCCAAATTAAGGCATCCATAATTGAGGGTGGTCCAGGTAGTCCACTACTTTTCTGGGCACTTATTTTGCTGTGAATGTTGCCTGCATGCCAGATTCCACAATCCATGTCCCCACGAAGGAGAGGTGGGTCTCGGTCATGTACATGGATGTAGAAAAACTATTCCATTGTCAGCAAGAGGAACACAGAGCGGAGAGTGCCTGGTGAGGAACAAGGCTTCCCAGGTCCCCTGCAGCCTCTGATTAATACTGGAAATCTCTAGAAAATTGAACCAAAGGATCATTTGCTTCAGGAAATCTCTTATTTCTGTAGAACAGGAAATTATGCTGGGTTACATTTGTTTTCTGGGCTAAGTCTTTCACTGTATAAATGATGGGTGTTTCATCTCAGCTTTCCTACATATATTTTTCATATAATCTTTCCTTTGGAATCCTCTTGTAATCTGCAATAATTCTGAATACTCAGCATCTTCAAAGGGATCAGTGGAACAAACCACCATCAATACTGCATTTTTTTGGATTTTTAAAAAAATGTAATTTGCCGTGTGTTATCATGATCTGGGCAAGCGCTGTAATTATCTCCTGCGTTCAATGCCTGAACTGTATTACTTAGTTTAAACGGGGGGATATTATATGTTATTTTTTCTCCAATAAGCTAAACTCCTACAAAGTTTAATCATCTGCCAGGCGGGGCTCAGAGGCGGAGCTGGCTGCTATACAGTCCGCCGCCAGGAGGGGGCGGCATTGGAATTATCTCGCCTTCCGCCAGCCAGAAAGGCGAGGCCCGGCGGGTCTCGGGGGCAGCGGCGCCCCCTCTCCGAAACAGGAGGTAGGGCCGCGCCATAAATATCCAGGCGGCTTCCGGAGAAGGGTTAGGAACCCACCCTGCGGCCCTCGGCACCTACGGCGTCTCCTCTCGGGCTGCCCTCCTTCCCGCAACTTAGATCTGCTTCTCGTGCCCGGCGCGCCGGGCGGCTGGGCTGGCTTCTGCGCGGTTCGCTTCGGGTGCTCGAGTGGTGCTGTTGCAGTCCGGTCTTCTCCGGTTTAAACCTCTTTACAGAACCTTGTTTCCAGCCCCCCCTAAAACCCTGACTGCTTTCTCTGAAGCTCCCTGATGTCTTTGCATCCTTCTTCAGGGGGGCGCCCAGAAGCGAGACGGCACTCAGGATGGCATCTGACCAATGCTGGTAGGGACTGACCACCCCACTCAGTACAGCCATCAGCTGGATCCGTGCCCTTCGCCTACATTCACATTATTTACATTCTGAGGTGAGCTCCTGCCCCTGAATTTTACCTGGCCTGGTTGCTTTTGTTTGGAATTCGAAGGCGTACCAGAATATCTGCCCACCCCCTCGAGTACCTGGGCCCTTCTCAGCTTTGCCAGGAGAGAGCGAGCGCAAGATGGAAGGCAGGCTCAGGGCATCAAATATTCCTGGGTTTGGATTAAGTAGGGATGGTGCATAATAGTTCTTGGTTAAGGTTGAAGGGTTGATTGAGGGTTCTGCCGAGAGAATGCAGCAGGAGAAACCAGGTTTGCATAGTTCCAACATTTAATAAACTTTAATCTCTCTAGAGTTATATCCACATCCATTAAATTAAAAAAAACTGGCCCCAGGAATTGGCTCCTTCTTCAAATTACAAGAATTATTTGTGCACCAAAAAGTTATAGAAAAAGTGTCCTGGGCAGCCCCAACCGAACAACCTCCACCAGGCAGCTCCCGAGGCCAGTGAGCAGACGCCAGGCCAGGACCCCAAGGCCGGCGGCCACAGATTGTCATCCGAGAGGAGGAAGGGCAAGAAGGCACGTGAGGAAAGGTGGAAGCTCCAGCAACGTTCGGCAGATCCAGGGAGCAGCTGCGCAGGGCTTGTGAGCAAGCCAGCCGGCTGGCCGCCCCTCCACAGGTCCAGAAGAGACCTG